ATATATATATTTGGTGACGTTTTGGCCACACATTCAACGCCACCAGCTGGGGGGCGTGCTGGTGGATCCCAGATTGCGTTCCAGGTACAGTATTGCTGTCAAATCAAATCACATGTCAGGGCAACACGTGTCACTGCAGCAGGAACTGTCAGTGTTGAAAGCACACCCAGAATTCTCACTTCCACATTCAGACCACACCTTCAACGCCACCATCTGGGGGGCGTGCTGCTGGATCCCAGATTACGTTCCAGGTACAGTATTGCTGCTACTGCACGTTCCATCAGTCACCCCACATGTGAGTGCGGCATGAGTTATTGCTGTTTGAATCACACCCGGTTTGCATTCCTTCGCGTCAGACCACACATTAATACAACCATCTGCGACATGCTGGTGGATATGGAAATATCGGTATGCATGTGTTCATGTGTGGATGTGCTGTGCTCACGTGTGGATGTGCTCATGTGTGTCCCATCTGCATATGTGTGTATGTACTCATATATGTAAGTTTAATGCATCTGCTCATTTTTGTGTGCAATCTTGTCTGTATGTGCTTGGTTGTGTATGTGCTCGTGTATGTGCTTATGACCCATGCCAAGATCCGTCCCACAGTGTGTGTGCACACATACCCATCCCATGCCTGAATAAGAGTACATTCGGGGCTCTGGTCAAACCTCCGTTCCTGCGACCCTAAATCGTACTTATTTCTCACCAATTGTGCTAATTGTTAGGTTGGCTACAGTGTTAACCAGCTGTTCTGACCAAAGCCCGGAATGTACCCTAAGCTAACCACAGGATCAAGGCCTGGACATTTTTGGAATGACGTGATGACAACATGTAATCCAATTAATATTCATACCGTATCTGAATCACCTGGCACAGGGTCAAGGCTTGGGCAAGGCTCTAGTGGAGCAAACGGTTCGGGCGCTGTTGCGGCGAGATATCGGCAACATCACCCTCTTTGCAGATTCGCAAGGTACCGTATCGGATGTCTATCAATGTCTGCAGAAGTTCAACAATGTATTTTTTGGCTCAATTTTGTTTAGGTGCCAATGTCAATATAATGTTCAATCTATTTTGTGGTGATTGTTGCTGTTCATCCAGTGGTGGACTTCTACAAGGGCATGGGTTTCGAAGCAGATCCCGAGGGAATCAAGGCGATGTTTTGGTATCCGAGGTTCTGATTTTTTTTTTCTTATGGACTTCTTCTGGTGTAAAATCTGTTCAATGCTGTGCTGCACTAGGAATAAGGTAGCATGATGCAATAAGCATTTTGTAGGTGATTGTATGCATACATCCCATCACCAAAAAAGTGTACATTCTGTGCTGTTAAGGAATATGATAACCGGTCAGGACCTGCGGCGAAATGAGTGGTTGGCAAGCAGCCAGGTCGGTCCCTTTTCGCACCGCCTGTGGGTGCGTCCTCGAAGGACCGCACCGCAGCCTTTCAAGGGCATGTCGAAACTTTTCCCCTTGCCCTTGTTCAGGGAGAAGCACATCAATACTGCACAGCATTCACCAAGGCGGTGGCAGATGGTGAATGTCTAGCGAGAAATGTCTTCGTTCTCCTGATCGACACTGAAGTACACGAACTTGTGAAACAAATTCGCCTCTCACAGTACCTATGTGCAAAATGAGTGTCGAGTCGAATAGAAGTGGGGGCAAGCTCGAAGGAGACAAGACAAACCCGAGGATGTGCCCTTCTTCCTCATCACACGCGACAATTCCAAGAAAACTGCAGCATGGTGGCTGTATACTTCTGGCGAGGGGAGGGCAGGATGTGGATGGGGTCCAGGCAGCAAGGCGAGGCAAGAAGGGACCATCCATCCAGCAGGCAACTGCTTGCCTCGGATTTCGTTTTGTCCCCTTCCGTTCTTGCAACCCATGTGGGTGTGGATTCTCTGGCAATTGCTGTACACATGATGCCTGTTTGCGCCACTCCCGGTTGCCCTGTGAAGGGGGATTATAAGCTGTAACTTACGTTTCGCAAAAGTTTCGTCAATTCGCAGATGGCTAAAAAGGATTCGCAGGTGCTTATATAAAGGATCTGTAACCTTATTCGTTGACATTTTGACTTCAGTCTCTTCAGTTTGACTACGGTCTGTTCGTTACTATTGGTTCAATAACCACGCGACGCGCTTGTAACGTGGGTGCAACAGGCTGGGGAAAAAACCTCGGGTGCAGCGTTTCCTTCCGGTGCAGAGCAAATTCGCGTGCATGGGGTGGGCATCACTTGTAGCTATGGTGATTCAGTTCCCAAGTGTTCAGTTTCAGTTAACCTCGAACAGTTTAGTTCCTCCCAACCCAACCAAACCTAGTTCTAAAAGTACTGTACCACTTTAATTCTCGTTTGACATTTCCAGAACATTGCTGTAAAACAGAAGACAAGGTGAAACGGTCAGGGTGGAAACCGTCAGGGAGTATGGTACTGTAGGCAGGCAGGGAAGAGATGATCATGAAATGAAACTCTTTCATTCCACGTTGCAAAAACGCGGGAATGCCTGGGTGGTCGCTTCACTGTGTGTATGGTGGTGGTTGCTTGTTGTGACTCCTTCCAGATACACCCTCTTTCGCGCCACACTGACATGACATTGGGCATATTGAAAAGCCGGTTTTACTGACATAAATGCGTCCAAAATGGTCCCAGAACATACCATATAAGCACATTTGCCGTACTCAACCTTACTCAAACGCAAGTTTGCTTTCATAAACCGTTTTGTACTGTTCTTTTGGAGTGCATTTGCCCGCCACCTACCTGGGATTCAGTTGCAAGCACCTGACCGCTAGGGTCCAAGCACACGTACGCACTGTAGCCAGTGCTCCCGATTGTCAATGTGGCGCGAAAGAGGGTGTATCTTTCCACATCATCCTGTGGAGCATGGGTGGGAGCCCACAATGTCAACTCCCTTGGTTTGTTTGTGATTTTTTGTCTAGATGCGAGGCGGACTCGATTTAGGAGATTATGTCTGGACCATTAGTATTTCCAAAGTCTGTAATAATCTCCTGTCCTGTTCCACACATGTGCATTTGACACTATCAATGTCGAAGGGACTTCCAGCTAATCTCGTGCGACGCGTATGTTTGCCGCTGATTTTTAGCTACACAATTTTATGTTTTAAAGACCAGCGAAAATGGAAATCGTCAGTTGCTTGGACCAGACCGAGCCGCGCGTCCTGTTAGGGTTCCCGTCGCAAAGAAGACAGAATGAGTTGCAAGCGTCGCAATGGCAGCTGCAGCAGCAACAACAGCAACAGCAACAGCAACAGCAACAGCAGCAGCTTCATACGGAATCGAGCATAGTAGCGGACAGCAAATCAAACCGCCACGTGGGATGGCGGGAGCTTCAGGAGATGCTTAGGCGGGAACCTGGGAACGACGGTCCGGGATCGCAAGATTTCGTCGCAGATTCTTTCTCGCCAGACGCTGGGACGCAAGTTTCGGCGGGTGAAACATCTCTCGAACCGGCGACGCGGGTCGCGTTTTCCGAGGCGATTCGAACGACGCACGGTAGTAGGGGAGAGGAGAAACAAGGATCATGGAGCCTGAAGCAGTCCCAGAGACTGCAGCAGCTGCAGCAACAGCAGCAGCAGCAGCAGCAGCAGCAGCAGCAGCAGCAGCAGCAGCAGCAGAGACAGAATAGGGTAAAAGGGAAATCGCAGAGTCTAGCAAACCCTAGCAGTGCGACAGCGAGCGAAATTGCGGAGGCTCAGGAGGAGAGGATGGGAGAGGATTCCGCGGATTTGTACGGTACGGATGACGTTTGGGAGGAGCTGCGAGGGGATCAACGGTCGCAATGGCATGATCAACGGTTAGAGGAACGCCAACAGTCCCAGGATCATTATCAACGGACACAAGCGCACCGCTTAAAGCCGCGTTCTCTGTCGGAGTCGGCGCCGTCTACTTTGGTCAAGCCGAGTCGTTTCAGTCGGCTAGCCGTCAAAGTTGACGGCTCCCCTGACGGTCCGTCTTCCGGCTCGCCGGTGTACTCACCATGCCCAATCACCGCGCCGTCTTCCTTTACAAGAGGGAAGTTTTCGAGGCAATCGAATCTTTCCCGTGACTCTCAGTCGCCAAGACAGTCGCCAAAGGAGTCGCCGAAGGAGTCGCCGAAGGTGTCGCCCAGAGAACGACTTGTTAACTCCTCGCTTGATATGTTGTCGCCTGACTCACGTCGCAGGGCTACGTCCGGTCGCATGGCGACAATCGCGCAGCAGACTGCAGAAGCGGCGACTCGTGCGACGGCGAGCTTGCGACGCGCGGGGTCGGCCGTGCGACGGCACTCCAGGCAGCATTCCTGGTCACAAGCGAACCCGTTAGTGGCAGATTCGTTTGACGTCCATTCCAGTGTTTCATCCAACGCTAGCGAAAGCATAAGTAGCGTAGCGAGCAGTCAGGCCGAGTCGCTTCGCAGCTGTCGCTCCAGTAAGGAGTTTCGCCACGGTCCTAGCCGGTCGATGGACGTCACGGGTATTTTTGCGAATATCGCGTACTACGATAGTGAAAGGATGGGCGGTGCGGGGAGCTCGGTTAATCAGGGGGGAGGCGAGGGTCGGTACAGCAGGCAGGGAGAATTCAGTCAGGCGGATTTCAGGAAGGCCGATTTCAGTCAGGGAAATGGCAGTCAGGTTGACGTCAGCGGCGGTTCTGATCGCTTGGCGAGAGAGTATAGTCGCTCGGTGAAAGAGCATCGGCACGTTCCTAGCCGTTCGATGGACGTCACCGGGATCTACGCGAGTATTGTAGAGGACGAACGTTCGCGGAAGCCCCCCGTGTCCCCCCGATCCCCGCGCGGCGGCTTCCGCTCCGCGGCGTCTGCCGCCCAACGCGGGGATAGGGGCCGGTTTGCTCCCCCTTCCCCCAGAACTTCCCCCAGAAGCCCCCGCTTCCGCCCATCCGCCCCTTCCGCCGCTTCCGCCGCTTCCGCTTCCGACAAGCGGCAGCCGCTTGCGACGCCATGCGACAGTGAGCGTGCGACGGTCGACTCGGACGAGGAATTCGTCCAAATGCTGCGCGACGTCGCGGCGACGCAAAACGGCGCAGCAGCAGTCGCCTTTGCTGCTGCTGCTCCTCCTGCTGCTGCTGCAGCAACGCGTTTCGCGGCGTCTCGTGGGAGTGTGGAAGATCGGCGCGTAAACACAAACGTAAACGTAAACGTAGACGGGAATCGCCTTGTGAGCGCACGCGTCGACTCTCTCCCCTCCGTAGGCGTAGCATCTCTCCCGTCCGTCGATTCTGACGAGGATTTTCTCGAAGCTCTTTGCAGAGCGGCAGCAGTGCAGCGACGCGGGTCGCCTCTGGGCCCTTCCTTGAGTCGTCTGGCGGCGGCCGACGCAGGGGTGGCTTGCCGCCCAGATGCGGGAGTAGATTGCCGCCCAGATATTGGGTTAGATTGCCGCCCAGGTTCGAGGGTAGATTGCAGCCCGTCAGTGGATTCCGACGAAGATTTTTTGGAGGCGCTTTTTAATGCCGGCTCCGCCACCGCCGCCGCCGCCTCTGCCACTGCCGCTGCCGCTGCCGCTGCCGCTGGAGGCGCGACGACGCAGCAGCAGCGCGTCGGTCCTTCGCGCTTGGCCGTGATATTGTCGCAGCAGACGCAGCAGCAGCAGCAGCAGCAGCAGCAGCAGCAGCAGCAGCAGCAGCAGCAGCAGCAGCAGCAGCAGTCACCGCAGCAGGCGCAGCAGCAGCAGAAGCAGTCACAGGGTTCGCAGGCGGGTCAAAAAGCGCAGGATACGCAAAGAACGCAGGAGGCGCAGCGGGTAAAGCAGTCTCTAGACGTGTTGGCGCGACTCAAGGCGGACTCGCGCCCCTCAGTCGACTCAGACGACGATTTCGTGGAGGTGTTTGGGCATACCGTGTGGGAGCGGCAGGAGGGGGCGGGCGCGTTGACTAGGGTCAACGACGAGGCGGACAGGTACGGGCACAGGACGGAGGCGAGTGCGTTGACTAGGGTCAACGATGAGTTGGATATTGACGGGCACAGGACGGAGGCGGATAGGATAAAAATGGAGGCGGATAGGCACAGGGCGGAAGCAGCAAGGGCAGCAGCGCAGCTGCAGCGGCTGCTGGAGGGGTCGCAGCAGCGGCGGCGGTTCTCCTCTCTGCACCACCGGTCGCTTTCCTCTCTAGTCAACGGGGTCAACGCGGTCAACGCGGTAAGCGGGGTCAGCGCGGTCAGCAAGATCGAGGCGGTCAGTGGGGTGAATGGGGTCAACGGAATCAATGGAGTGTGCGAGGCAGACGGAGATGGGGCAGCAGAGCTGCAGTCACAGCAGCAGCAGCAGCAGCAGCAGAGGCAGAGGCACCATGCGATGCACCATAGGTCGCGTTCGTACACGTCAAACGCGGTCAACTCGGTCAATGGGGTCAACGGGGTGTGTGAGGAAGAGGGAGATGGGGCAGCAGAGTTGCAGCAGCAGCAGCAGCAGCAGCAGCAGCAACGGAGGTCCTTTGCGTTGCACCATAGATCTCGTTCGTACACGTCAAACGCGGTCAACGCTGTCAACGGGGTCAACGGGGTGTATGAGATGCAACATCATCAGGTGAGAGGAGAGCTACAGCCGCAGCAGCAGCAGGAGCAGCAGCAGCAGCAACAGCAGGCGAAGACACAGCAGCAGCAGCAGATGCAGCAGCAGCTGCAGCAACAGCAGGCGAAGACACAGCAGCAGCAGCAGATGCAGCAGCAGAAGAAGACAGAGCAGCAGCAGCAGCAGCAGCAGCAGAAGCATCAGCGGCTTTCCATATTGCACCACCGCTCACGTTCAGCTGTGAATGCAGTCAACGGAGTCAACGCAGTCAACCTAGTCAACGCTGTGAGTGTAGCATTCGAGGGGTTTCCACATGGGGAAAGGGAGCCAGAGCTGGACCAGCAGCAGCAGCAGCATCAGCAGCAGCAGCAGCAGCAGCAGCAGCTGTACCAGAGGCAGTCCGCGTTGCACCAGCGCTCCCGTTCAGCTGTGAACGCGTCTGCCTTAGGCTTGGCTTCTGCAGGTTCGGCATCCACAGGCTCGGCAGCCACAGGTTCGGCGTCTTCAGGTTCGGCAAGCGTGCATCCGTCCTCTGCAGTCACTAGAGGGCGCCCTTCAGCAGGTTCCTCCTCCTCACCCTCCCTCCTTCCATCACTCTCTCCCTCACACTCACCCTCACTCTCCCCAACCATCTCCCCCTCTCAATCCATCGTCTCACCCTCCCAATCCATCGTCTCGCTGTCCCAGTCACAGCCAAACGGCATCTCCCCATCACACTCTGTCGTCTCCCCCTCCCAATCCGTCATCTCCCTGTCCCAGTCACAGCTACATGGCGTCTCTCCCTCACACTCCGTTGCTTCCCCCTCACAATCCGTCGCCTCCCGCTCACACTCACTCTCCCCCTCGCATTCCATAGCATCCCCTTCACAATCACACTCACTCTCCCCCTCCCAATCCGCCGCGTCATCCCCACGCGAACCTGCATATTCCTTCTCCGCTTTCCCCCCTTCCCCAAGGGGACGTGCTTTTCCCCCCGGTCTCCCCCCTTCCCCACGGGGACTCGCGGTCCCCCCCGCGTTTCCCCCTTCCCCACGCGGAACTGCCCGCATTCCCCATGCCTTCAGCAGCACCATATCCTCCCCCCACGCCAATTCCTTCCGCGCTTCCCCTTCCTCCCCCCGAGCCAATTCCTTCCGCGCTGCCCCTTCCTCCCCCCGCGGAGCTGCATTTCCGCCCACCGCTGCCTTCCCCCCTTCCCCCCGCGGAATCTCTGCCCACCAGACTCCATCCGCGTTATCTATCACACATCGCGCTTTGTTTGATGCTAGCCATGCCTCTGCTGCTGCTGCTGCTGCTGCTGCTGCTGCTGCTGCTGCTGCTGCTGCTGCTCCTCCTCCTCCTCCTCCTGCTGCTGCTCCTCCTGCTGCTTCCGCTTCTGCTCCTCCTGCTCCCCCTCCTCCTCATCCTGCTGCTGTTGCTGCCGCTGCTGCTGACAGGCCAGCTCCATACGCGTTAATAACACACCCGCCTGCGTTAGTAGGCCCGTCAGCCGTGTCATCGGCCAGGATACGCTTTCCTAGGGAGCTTACTTTCACCGTAAGCCCTCAGGTGTCTCCTCAGGTGTCTCCTGAAGATTCCCCTCAGGTGTCCCCTCCCAGGGTGTTACCACGCTCACAGTCCACAACACATCGGCCAAGCATCTCCCAGGAGTCCCAGATCCTCGTTATAAGCTCAAACGGGCAGTTTCAGATAAGATCGCGTCGCGGGTCTCCCTCCCAATCCCCCCCGTTGTCATGGCCCCTCTCTCTCGCCCCGTCTCACACTCGCTCTTTATCAGACCTACCCTCCAAGTCCTTACCTTCACTCACTGGCGTTTCTCTTACTTCTCCCTCCCAGTCCCTACCTCAATCAACCCCGCCCTCCAATACCCTTCCTCCTCCCACCAACCAATCTCCCCCTAGCGCTCAACGCTCCTCCCCTTCCCCTTTCCCGCCTTCCACCTCTCCTTCCCCTCCTCCCTCTACCCGCTCCTCTCTTTCGTCTTCCTCCTCTCTCACCTTTCCTCAAGCCCTTTCTTTCTCCAAGTCACCGCCCTCCACCTCTTTTCACCCCTCACAATCGCTGCCTCCACTCAAGAAATCCTCATCTCATGATAACCTATTGTCAGCGGAAAGCCGATCGCCAATCGAAAGCCTATCGTCAGTCGATAACTTATCGCCAACCGATAACTTATCGTCGAACCATCAACCATCAGGGAACAAGGGCTTATCACCACCCCATGATCATTCCCCTTCTTTGAACACCCAGTCAACTCGAACCCCCTCGCACTCTCAGTCACTCTCTTCACCTCCTTCCCTCTTTCTTCTCAACCCTCACCTTCTGACCCACCACTCCTCTCCCTCACTCTCTCAACTCCCCTCCCACTCACCAGCACTCGTCCTGTCCGTTCACCCAAAGGGGGTTACCTCACCTCAAAAGAATTCCCCCACCCATCTCTCTCCCCCCAAGCCTTCGTCCAATCCCAAACTTCTTTCCTCCCCGGAGCCTACTTCCAAACCTCTCTCCCCTTCCAAGGCTTCTTCCATGCCTTCTTCCAAGCCTCTTTACGTCCCTCGTGCTCTCACTCTTCGCAACACAGGTCTACCCCAATCCGAGGCACCCAGCCTAAGCACGCTTAGCCAAGCCACACTCAACCAACCAGTGCTTAACCAAGCAGCACTTAACCAAGTGCTGGTCTCGGCTTGCCAGGGGCTGCGCGCACTTAATAAAAAATCGCTGCCACTTAGCCATGAAACTGGCTCAGGTATTCAAGAGTCAGTCCCGCCACAGCAGCGTTTAGCTAAGCAACAGTTCTTTCACCAACGAGCCCCTTCTCTCTCGTCATACTTGCCCACTGATCAGCCCCAGTCTTCATCTCGTGAATCTCAGTCACACACTCATTCACACACTGATCCACACACTCATTCACACACTGATCCACACACTCACTCACACACTGACGCACACACTCACTCACACACTGACCAGCACGCCTACTCGCAGGGTCAATCAGCTGGGGCAAAGAAGGGGAAGGTGACCAGGAAGAGCAAGAGTTTCGGGGCATACCCTGTTGTTGGTGCCAGCACTGGCGCCACGAGCAACAGCAGCAGCAGTAGCAGTAACAGCAGCTGCGGTAACAGCAATTACACCACCAGCAGCAGCAGCAGCAGCAGCTTTAACACTGCAAGGCAGAGCAACAACAGCAAGACCAGCACCCAAAGCACCGGCAGCACCAGCAACAGCACTGGCAAGTCACCCAATCGAAGCTGCAGCAGCATTGCCATTGGAACAGCAGTGGAGAGGCGCTGGCGTGTGAATGGAAGCGGCAGCAGCAGCAGCAGCAGCAGCAGCAGTGGCTTAGGTGCCGGCAGCAGCAGTTGCAGCAGCATTGCCATTGGAACAGCAGCGGAGAGGCGCTTGCGTGTGAATGGCAGCCGTAGCTTCAAATCAAGGCCTGCTGGGAAGCTATCAAATGGAGAATTGGCACAGGAAAAGTTCCGGCTTCAGCCAGCTGCTCCTTCACCTGCTGGTGTCAGCTCATCAGTTGCAAGTGAGGATTCAACTCAGCAGCAGCAGCAGCAGCAGCAGCAGCAAGGCGGGGTGTTGTCCCATCAGAATTTGTTGAATCGACGGCCGTCGCGGTTACTTCTACCTGAGGCAGATAATGCTATTCTCACCGTTCCAATGCGTCGTTTCGACCTGAGTGACCCGCTCCTTCCTCAGACCCAACCTGTGTTGCAACCCACTGGCCCTCCACAATCCGCCCGAAACCCTTCTCGCTCGCTCCGATCCCAGTCCTGCCGATTCTCCTCCGAGGTGGTTACTAAGGCTGACAGGAAGCTTATAAGGGGGATGGATGACCCGCAGAGAAGAGCTGCGTATTGGATGGGTGCGAGCTACAGTGAAAGGATTGAAGGCGTTTCTCCGGAGAGGGTGATAGTGAGCTCCGATACGGAAGCTGCATATCAGGTGGGAACCTCAAGTTCAGGTGAATTTGCAGATACCTATGAGGTGTTACATGAGGGTGACTCCGGAACATTATTTATTGAGGGAGGGGCTCTAGGAATGACATTTCCTAGGTCCAGATCCGCTGTCAAGCGTGACAGCTATGGGTTTTGAATAGATATGTAATGAACTGTACGAATTTGACTCTCAAGTGCACTCGACCTTGTATCGGATATCAAGGCCAGGAGGTGGAATTTGAAAGTTTCAGCGAGAACATGGCTGGCGCAAAAACCAAGCTTGCAATTTGCAACAACATGACCATGGTCTTCGATATCAAATTTGGCCGCGGCGACGTTCGTCAGGTTGTAACATTACAAATTTCGCCATGTCTTGGCTTGGGTTTAGGTAGCACGATCTTCTTCACCACTAACACTTGCTAACCTGCCTACTCTGACCTGATGTGTTTGCCATGTGGAGCATTCAGAATTGAACAGACTCCTGCCAAATTATAACAAATACGGAGCATTCGTTCTCTGCCTGTGCTGTTCTACCGACTAATTAATTTCTCCAAAACCTACTAACCACTTGCACACCGCCTGAATTCCAGGGTAATTTCACCCTGGACCAGAAATCAAACGAAACGGTAATTATATATAATGAAAACCTGTTACAGGGTTTGAAATCACCCTAAACCAGCAGATCGTTTCAAGCGAAAACACTACTGGCTAAACGAGTCCACCACATTTACGCTAAGTAACGTCCAGAGGAGGACGTTACGCTGCAAGTAATCCTAGATCAGTATCAGCTGCGAAGCAAGAATGGTGGGAGCGGACACATCTCCATTTATTTACGCGCCGCGGCGCGGCGTGCCGCTGCTGTTCTCCGTATCGAAGCGACGATGTCGTTTACAGGACGTTGCCCTGGAGCGTGGTGGGGAACGCGACGGCATCGGTGGTGTGAACCACGAGCTTGCCGGGCTTGAGGTAGAAGTTGAGCTTGGTGATCGCCATCGTGCTGCCCTTCTTCCCCTGCAGCACCACCTGCCCCTTCTTGTTGTTCGCCAGCTTCTGCAGCGTCATGGGCTTGCCGGCCTTGGTGCTCGCGAGCGTCGTGATGTTGCTCCCCACGGGCAGGGTCTGGAGCGCATCGGAGGGAATCACCTTCTTGAAGGCGGAGAATCCGACGACCACCATCAGCTCCGTGGATTTGTACTTGGTGATCTGCAGCTTGCCGATCGCCGCGTTCGACGGCACCAGCATGGTGAGAGGCTTCGAGAGAGCCGCCTTCACCTCCTTCATCTTGCCTGTTTAGGAGGATGAGATGCGCGGGAAAATGTATAACAGATTGAAGAGATTGTGAGAGATACAATGATACGCCTTGGAGCAAGTGTGAAGTCGGAGATTCAGCCTGGAAATTCGCGCCTCTCAGTTCTTCGCGGTACTTTGCGGTTCGTACCGTAGGCGGTGACGAGGGAGACGAAGCTGGTGAATCCCGACTTGTTGAGCTTCTGGATGGCCTCGTCGAACGGCGTCAACGGCGCGGGCGGTCCGGCCGGCGCTCCCCCGGTCTTCCCGGGAGTTGTCTTGGGTGGAGTTGTTGTTTTGGGCGCGGGTGATTGAGCCGAGCAGACAACGGCCAAGCCCACGAGCGCGAGGAGGAGCAGAGCGGATCGAGAAACGGCCATGGTTGCGGAAAGAAGGATAAGGCGAGTGACACCACTGACGGCTCTTGTGAACTTGTTTGGAGCTGTGGATGGATTGGAAAGAATCGGCCGAGAGAAGACGACGGACGGATTGGAGCAGCGCAAGGGCTATCGAGCTGTGTGCTTTGATCCTTCAGGAGCCTAGCTGTGCGGAGGAATGCGGAGAAGACTACTCGAAAGAGGAGCAGAGGAACGTGAATTGGTGATAGATTGCGAAATGGGAAGCTTGAGCTTATACCTGCAGTTCAGTCTCACATTCAGCATATGTGATTTTCTGTGGAATTTCGGGAACGTTTGCTGAGCTTCGGGCAGCGCGTCTCGGAAGCGTGGCTGCTCGCTGGCAAAGCGATTGGTCAGGGCACGCTCCGAAACAAATCTTTACGAATAACGGCCCTTCGGGCTTAGCGCGGGACTTATTCCGCAGGCTGGGATGCGATGCGTACAGGGAAACTTGCAAACTACCAATCAGAGCTCTTCGGTGAGATTCACGCGACAAAAGTATTTGCTGGATCGCATGTAAGCCTTGCGACATGGGCGTGGACGGTGGCGTCGGAATTCGTTTCCCTCCTTCCCTCGTCAAAACGAGACGCTGTCGGACGCTGCGATTGAACGACGCAGCTCACAGCTACCGACAGGCAATGGACTGTCGGTGTGCGACGTAAATTTGAATTTGCGACTTGGTATCTGGTGTCAGAACCTATAACTAGTTTCAAAGAAAGAATTGTATGCAGTACAGTGAAGCTTATGTCGAGGACATAAGGAATTTCTTGTAACCCATTTGCCTCCAAACCCACAATCGCCTACAGTTTCGGCTTCGAATCGACGACATTCGTCAACGCAACGCAACAGTTCGATCGCCAGTGGTTTCGCGGGCAGCGTAAAGTGCTTCTGGTCTGGAGCGGGCGAATTCACGGAATTGTAACGGCAAGTGGATATCTTGTTCGGACACGTCGCCCACCTTGCAGTCGAAAGAGTGCATCAGTCGCGCGCAGTCGTTTCGAGTCGCACAGCAGTGACTTGTTTGGTCGCCCTTCGAGCTTGACTTGACTGCGGGAGCCGTTATCGCCGCCGCGTTGAGCGCTGAGTTGCGTCGGTTCAGAGGTCGAAACTTGAGCATCCGAGACGCGACACGATGCTCGAATTCTCTCAAATGTTGAGTGCATTTGGATTGGGATATAAACTGCAAATCAAACCAACCATTCATCATTCCTCACCTCAGCAACCATCATCTGTTCAACTCAGTTTGCAAACTGCAAACTATAACGAGTTGAACTCTATTTTTCTCGCCATCTCACTCAGCCATGGCGAGGTCTCAATCCGCTCTCCTGCTGCTAGCCCTCATTGGTCTCGCCGTCGTCTGCTCGGCTCAACCCACTCCTAAAACAACAACTTCGCCGCCGAAAACGACACCTGGGTCCAAGGCGAATGGGGGTGCGACGCCAGCAGCACCATCTCCGCCTGCCGGGAAGGCGCCGATGACGCCATTTGACGAGGCGATTAAGAAGCTCAACGACTCTGGTTACACCAACTTTGTCTCGTCAGCGCTTACGGTGAGAACCGGGATGATCACAGCAAGAAACAAGCAGAGAACTGCGAACGCCCATGAATGCGCGCAGCACCAAACCTCAAATTTCCTATCCTGCATACTTTTCCCACAGCACACTACATTTCTCAGTCCTCGCTCGATGAAAACGATCTAATCCCATCTCCAGCTCCTCCCCTCATCCCACCGATCCTCCCAACCCTTATATATTTTCCGCTTCAGGCAAAATCAAGGAGGTTAAAGCCGCACTCTCCAAGCCGCTGACGATGCTCGTGCCCAGCAACGACGCAATCAAGAAGGTGAAAATCACGTCCTACAAAACCACGGAGCTCGCAGCGCTTGTCGGCTTCAGCGCGTTCAAGGAAGTGATTCCGGGCGACATGCTGAAATCCCTGCCCGAGGGCAAAAACATTACAACGCTGACCGCGTTCAAAAACGGCAAGCCAATGACGCTACAGAAGCTGGCGAACAACAAGAAGGGACAGGTGGTGCTGCAGGGGAAGAAGGGCAGCACGATGGCGATCACCAAGCTCAACTTCTACGTCAAAACGGGCAAGCTTATCGTTCACACCACGGATGCGATCGCGTTTCCGTCTACACTTGACGGGAAAGTAATGTAGACGGAATGACACAATTTGTGTCTCGTAACGGGGATATTATAGCGGGCATCCTGGCTGGGCTCTACACGATATCATATGATAGATGCTGTCACCTTCTTATACGGAATGACCCCATAGTGTATGGATGGGGGTGAATTCCTATACTGAAATTACACGAGTTTATTCAACATCTGGCCCAGTATTTCACCTGCAGTAAGCCATGTAATATTCTTCAATAAGCAGCACAATGGAGCTGATAAATTTCAAACCAACACCTTCAGCAGCCTCGGCATCCGAAGTTACTGCCATTCCTAAATGCCACAATGGTGGAAAGAAACATTCCATACCAGTGCAAAGATTTAGTTAAGAAAGGGCTTGTCAAATGTTATTATAGGTTCTTAGGCTACAGTGAGTAGCACTCTAGGGAGTACAACACTTGTAGGGTTGCTATTTGTATCCCTTGTTTCCCTAGTTCACACATTCCGTTGCATTCCTACTTTGAGATGGTATCACGAGTAGGTTAGTTCCTCGTTACTTCCTAGCCCACGCCCTCTCTAGCGCACCTCCGCGCCCTCCGCGCCCTCCGCGCCCTCCGCGCCCTCCGCGCCCTCCGCGCCTTAGGCTCCGTGCCCTCCGCACCCTCTCCGCGCCCTAGCGCCCTCCTCCGTGCGTCAGCGCCCTCCGCGCCCCTAGCCCATGTTTTCGGCCCGCGCGCCTTAGCGCCCTCCGTGCCCCTAGCTCGCGCCGTCGCGGACCTCCGCGCCTAGCCCCCTCCGCGCCCCTAGCCCGCGCCGACGCGGACCTCCGCGCCTAGCGCCCTCCGCGCCCTAGCCCGTCGCCCAGGCCCGCGCCCTAGCCCGTTGCCCCAGCCCGCGCCCTAGCCCGTCGCTTCAGCCCGCGCCCTGGCCCGTCGCCCCAGCCCGCGCCCTAGCCCGTCGTGTTGGAAACAATCGATCTTAAGCGCCTCTGTCGTGTCGAAACACTAAGGCACAAACGAAGCGAAGCATATCGAAGCACCGGCGAGTCAACCCTCGGAGGTTGAAAACAACAGTTGGAGGTTACGCGAAAGCCAAAGGTCAGCGACCTTTGACCTGACAGAGTACAGCGCGACAGCAAGGACACACAACTGACTCGCTATAGAGCAGTTGCCCGAGTCGTCACTGTATCGAACCGCAACAGCAACAGTAAAACAGTTATAACTGTAACCCTTCATATTCCTTGTACTCTTATATATGATCTTGTATCTCTCTGTTTTAATCAATCTACTTTGCCCTCACATACTAGCGCAAGGTGGTTCAATTACTTCATTAAAGCTTCCGCTATTACATCAGTCCTTCCCAGAGTTCACCCCTGCAAAGATCCTAAGGGCTATTTTCTCAGCCCAACATGGTATCAGAGCTATCAGGGGGAATTCAACTATCAAGACACCTACAACATCAACAGGCATGGCTACACAAAAGGAAAGGAGCTCCTCCAACGGCTCCCAGGGCACTACTCCTACTCCACCTCCTGCCTCTGGCCTACAGACAGAGGAGGGTACGGCAACAAGACCCAGGGCAACATCCACCGAAACTCCCGCAAACCAAGCCGCGGGCTTCGACCCAAGTATGATGGAGAAGTTCTCCTTCATGTCTTTCTACGAGCAACACCAGCAATCGGCACCTGCGCAGTCACACAACAGCAACAACAACGGAGCAACTCCCATGAGTCTCGACGACTCATCATACGCACGAGGAAATCAACAGCAGCAGCCTACCTTTGCTCCGTACGAGCGCGGGTCCATTAGCTTTATGCCACACCCGCAGCTTTCACCTGGACAAGAAAAGCCACTGGACGCATTACAAGTTCAGTCGCAGTTCGCGCACGTTCTGAAGATGCAGACGTCAAGACCTTTCGATGGAAAGGATTTCTTCACCTGGTCGTTTGAATTCGAGTTAATGATGGAAGGCGCGCAGATACTTGGCTTCTTCGACGGGTCCCTGCCATACCCAACAAACGGCACACAGTATGAGAAGCAGCAGTACACCTATCAGTCGATGATGGCGTACACGATTCTACTGAGAAACATCACCCCGGCTCAACAGCAGAATATACGGTCTTACCGGGGTTACGGCAACTCCGCGGAGCTCGCATACAACCACTTGAAGAGCCTGTATCAAGCAACAGACAGCGTAAATCAAAGTCGGTTAATGGCGCAACTGACAACGGTCGAAATGAAACCAGGCGAGAAAGGAATGGCGTATATCAGCCGATGTCGCGAGTTGCGCGACAAGCTTTTTCGATGCGGAGGGTCGATTTCTGAAGACGCCTTCGTGACAGTCATCATTGGCGGCCTCGGTCCTCAATGGCGCGCCACAAAGGCCATTCTCCGAGCCCACGGAAGAATCTCCGAAGCAGCACTCTGCGCCGAAATCCATGCCGAGCAACAAGACATGGACCTGCAAGAAGAACGACACAAGAAGAAGACATCAGCACCGGAATTTGCATTCCACACTCAGCGACGCTACAACAACAACAAACAACAACAACCGAAGCCCGTACCTCCGTTCTGCCACATCTGCAAGACGTCAGGGCACCCACGCACGCACTGCCCGAATCGACAACAGTCAACGCCTTCACAGCGGCAGCTTCGACCTTCAAGCAATCAAGTCGCCTCAACACAAGCAAATCCTACGACCCAGATTAAAGCCTCAACGACCTCAACAGGACAACCTGCACAAGGAGCAAGGAACATCGTCAGTTGCATGGCAAGACTGAACGACTCTTGCATCACGGGATCACCACCGTACTACTCACCGGAAGAACAACTCGACGACACCACACCTCACCGCGATTCACTC